CCTCTTCTCCGTGCTGCCCAGCAACAGGACAAGAGGCAATGGGCAGAAACTGAACCACAGGAAGTTCCATCTGAACCTGAGGAAGAACAACTTTACTGTGAGGGTAACAGAACACTGGAACAGGTTGCCCAGAGAGGTTGTGGAGTCTCCTTCGCTGGAGATATTCAAAACCCATCTGGGTGCGATCCTGGGAAATATGCTCTAGAGGACCCTGCTTGAGGTTGGACTAGATGATCTCCAGAGGTCCCTTCCAACCTAAATCATTCTGTGATCTCTTAAGTCACAAGGACTCATTTTCCTTTCTATATTTGAAGTAGGAAGGTAACTGAAAAAAGCTGTCTTGGTGATACTTACATAGATTCGTCTAGTATAACTGCAACCACAAGGTAACATTTGTGTCTGGAGTACAAAATTTGTAACATCACACAGTGGAGGATGTGATCAAGCTGAAAAGCCTCTGGTTTATCTATCCTGTCATCTTTACAGCTAATTATACATAATCACAGCTCATCTTTTGTGACTGCTACCTAAACCTATAGTGAAGGAGAAAAATGTTGTTTCTTCAGATGTGTACTTAATATACACTAGGAAAAAAAAAGGAAAGGAAAGGACAAAAGTGCTAGAGAAAGGTCATTGTGGTCTATGCATTACTGGAAACAGTCTAAGAGAAGCTTACAGATATGTGAAGCAGGGTTCTATAAAGAGAGAAGCTATGCTCTTGTGACTAGTTGGCAATAGTTTAAAATTATTAAAATCTAAAAATGTGTCTGGGCTAAATATGGCATATGATTATGCTCAAATAAACAAAAGCTAGAAAAAAAATTATGTATGAAAGACAAAAGAGACTAGACACTTTAAGAAATTGATATATTTTAGTACAATAGTGAAAATTTCTTTAGCCAAGAGTTGTACTTCATTTAATCCTGATAGCACTAAACATGACTTGCAGAGGAAGAAAAAGGATTTCCCTGATAATCATCTCATATCTATGAGAAACCTTAATTACTCCTAATTATCATACCAAATTACTGATTCTGATCTTCCCTGTGCTGAACTAAAAGAATTTTTACACTGAAATCTGAACTACTGAAAGGTGAAAAATAAAGACAGTACATAAATGCTTGATACTTTTGTTAATACTGGTTCAACTTCAAGTTCTGAAAGACAGTCTGGAACACCATCCTTAGTAGGAAGCTTATGCAATGCCTAAGAGTAGACTGTTTCTCTCCTTGCAGGTCATCTTTAAGCCATGCTTAATTAGGAATATGACAAAAGCTTTGTCCTTAAACTCATGAAGACAATTCACCCAAAGTGAATTTCTTCTAATAAGAAAATATTTTATAATAAATCTAATTTTTTAAATATATCTAAATATATTTTAAAATAAGTCTAAAATAACTAATTTGTTCAACATTTAGATATATTGCGAGAGATTCAGTTACATGTATATCTGACACACTTACTTTGTTGACTGGATAATCCTATTTAAGTTCTAAGAATATATGATTTTTACCTTTCCTGAGGTGCTCTGGACTCCTCTGCAACTGAATTCTGTAATCTGCACAAGATGAGTTGTCAGAAGCTATTATAATGACAGCACTAAAACATAGACTTTATTTGAAATAAGAATTAAAGCTATGCTTATAAACAATATTTAATTATTTTTTTTTAATCCTCATTTTAAATAACATCCTTCCTGTTTTGGAGGAACCAGAGGAAATGGACGGATACTTAGGGACACATACAATAACCCAAAATGTTCAATTTCGTTCAAGATACAAAACGAAACAAATTCACCTTGTAGCAGAAAGCCTATCCAGACCTGTTCCAGATCCATTTGGAATATTTCAACTCTGAGGTCCTTCTTTTTGCTTTACTATTTGCTTTTTGTTTGCTTATTATCAGCAGATAATTAGCAGTGTGTTTCATTCATTGGCTATTGTATACATTTCTTGTGTAGAGTCTAAAAGGGTATGTTTAAAAGCATCATCCTAAATCACTGAAGCTACCGCTGTGCAGCAATTAGTTATGATTTTCAAATACCTCATTGTGAGAAAGAGTTCTTTTTAGCATCATACTTATTTTTTGCAGCTATTAAGGCAAGACTGGTACAACAACAGTTCACTGAAGGAAGAAAGCTGAATGTGGAGTTTAATTAGAATTCTCCTTTTTTTAAATGCTTCAATTCCATGTTTCATAATAACAAAGAGAAACATTTTATTTTTATATGCAATGCTGTCAACAGATGCAAAGACTTATATTCTCAGTTTTGTTTTTTAAGGTTGTATAACCTTAATACAATATACAAGGTTTGAAAGTGGTATAAAAACAGGTATACTGAGAACAAAGACTGTTTTGGGAATCAGAATATATCCACTGTTTTCCTGATCTTATTTCTATCACAGAAACAATTGCCTAAAACACGTGTCCTTTAAATCCTGTAAAATCTTAACAGACGTATGCTGTTACAATAATGTATTCTTCAGTATCAGAAATCTAGTTTTCTAGATTTGCTGACGATTAAAAAGTTTACATTTAAATATACTTAATGTCTTTCTGAAGCTGTTGAAACCTTCACTGCTCAGGTGCTAAAAAGAATGCTCAATTTAAAAACAAAGAACAAAGAATGAGTAAATATGGATATTAGTTCTGGCCTCAGAAAATCCTTTAATCCATCAGAGTTACGCATATCACTGTACGTATGCAAGCAATCAGATTATTGTTTTCATCCTTGGCCAAATATCCCAATCACAAAAATGCACTTCTAAAAAGTATTACATTTTTAGAGTAATTACTTATAGTGAAAGGTCGCAGTATCTTTAACACTTCATTTTCATTACTCAACAAAGATGGGGAGAATTGGAAAGTCAAGTTTAATTTTAATTAGATTAAAATTAAAAATTATATTAAAATTAAAATTGTGCCGCAGACAATATTCAATTTCCAAGTACAACAGTGGCTCTTCTCAAAGGTATCCGAAAGCATATGATGAGGTTTTGCTGAATGTGGTCTTACCTCATCAGATTGCTACTTCTCTTTCATTGCCCTCAGAAGCTGTAATGAAAAATAATGACATTATACATTGTCTTTGCACTCAACTTCATATGAAATGCTTAGTTTCAATGTACTGTTAAATAAATGACTAGTATTCTTATTGTATTAAATATGCAAAATTACTACACTTTGCTTTTTTTTGTTTCTACCCCTCACTGTTCTGTAGTCTCTGAATCTTTTGAAATTATGGTAAATGCAAAAACTGACGCATATTCATCTCCAAGTAATCGAGCTCTTACAACAGCCAAGAGAAAGAGACATTGCAGAATTCTGACATTTCCCAAACAGCACCTTAACCTTAATCTTTTTTATTTTGACTGTAGTGCTTTCCCTCTCTTTTTGTCTCTTTGTGAAATGTGATCTCTACAAACTGATAAGGAACATTTTCCAGATCAGTGCTGCTGCAAAATGTTTGGAATTTATTGGACTAAATGAATGGGAATATTCAATCGGAATGGAAAAAGGGCCATCATTACTAGACAACAATAAAAATAGGTAGTTCAGTCATAATAATAAAGTAAAATAGAAAGTGTAGTGATAATACACTACCAGTTTCAGCCTGTAATATAAGTCTGCTAAATACCTCTTGCTTCCTTATGTTCTTGTATTGCTTATAGTGATTTACAGTTAATTTCCAAATACGAAGCATCTACTAAAGTATCTTTAAAATGTAAGTTCCTCCTACATAGGGTCAAGCTAAAACTGCATTTCAAAGTAGATGAATTTAATGCAGTTTCTTGACAGTAAATTGAAGGGGGAATCTCAAAAGCAAGAGTGCTAAGTGGGTAATGAAGTATCGAGGGATTTCCTATGTAGAGTATTGTTAGAGAAGGAAACTAGCCGATTTAGCTTCAGCTTAGCCTAAGTCTGACTTTTGCTTAGCATAAGTGCCTAAAGTAGATGAAGCCTGCAGGCCTCAAGGCTGAACTGTCAATTAACTCGAGAAACACTGCCAACGATATAACATTGCCAGCGATGTAACTGCAAAATCAATTAAAACCAGCTAATAAAGATACAAAGCAGCTACTGAGGATACAAAGTAGAATGCAGGAGACAAGATGGGATGCACCTGGGTTGTGGTTGACCTTTGAGAAGATAAGGGAGCGTGGGAAACAAGAACATGGCAACCAGCCTGGGAGGAAGGTCAAGACCAGACAGAAGGAGAGAGACCACTGACTCAGTAAAGAAGACTGGAGGAGACCTTCACTGGTAGGCAGAGAAATAAAACTGTAAAGGGTATAATTGCCTCAGAATTTCTTTGTTCAGGGTCCCTTCTCAGAGGCACCCAGCTCAAGATGTTAACTATGCTGTACTGTCATTTAAATAATTAATTAATTCTGCTGCTATATGTGTGTGAGACTCTGCTCCTCAGAAACCTAGGGTCCAGCCGTTCCCATAACAAGTATACAGTGCCAGCTACTGGGGAAACAAGGCCGAGTGAAGTGAGGGGCTCTGTTTTGGCAGCTAGTGGGTACCATGGGTCATAGGGCCCCTGTGCTTGGGTGCCAGCTACAGGGGAGGGGGTGAAGTGCTTCATGTTTATATTTTCACCTAACCTCGTAGGTCTATGTGTGTGTGAATCACTAGCAACCTTCAAGCTGCACTAGCCAGTGAGTAGGAGGCCTAGACTCTGCACAGGGCTATTAGATGGGCAGAGGGCATGTGCCGATAGTCAAAGGATCTGAGAGTGCAGGGGTGCCTGTAAGACAAGCAGGTGAGTGCATGCATCTGTTTGCTCACAAGCATCAAGCGGGTCTAGCCACCAAGGAGATCCATAGAGCAGGTTAAGAGCCCAGGATCTGGGCAGGGATATTAGATGGATAGAGGGGCCATACTGATATGCAACATGTCCTATGGCCTATGTCCATGTTTGTGAATCTAGAGAGTGAGGACACACACTTTCGCTAGTCAACTTCAATCCTGATCAGCTGGAGAAGCAGAATGTGGGACTTGGCTGTCTGTATTTATGTTTTATTGGAGTTCTGGTGGTGGTACATGAGTGTCGCTGAAGACAGCACCCTGTTTGTAGCAGCCTGTGTGGGGCGGTGTTTTACACACTCCATCACACTACTGGTTAAACCTGAAAATGGGAAAGCAGTGGGACAGGAAGATCCCCACCCAGGTCTCCGGGCCCACAGGGTTGGGCTCCAGCAGCCAGGCAGGGAGAATCCCTGAATCCTGGAGTCTGCCAGAGGCAGTGGCCCCTATAACATCCCTTATCAGAATGAACTTTGTTTCATTTGCCTATCAAATGCTCAATTTGTACACTTCTAAGCTACAGCATTAACATTTCTTTGCCCTGCTTCTCTTTCAAACCAAATGAATTTTGATGCTATTAGTTTCCTAGTTTTGATGGTTATATAAAGCAAATATTCTACCGTCTTTTAGCCAAACATTAAAATTAGCAGACATGAGAAATGAGATCTATCAAGGAAAGTTTCTGTGTTCAGAAAACTTTTCCTTGCCTTGATGTGAAGGAAAAGAGAGGGCAAGGAGCTAGTACACACACACGGCATGCTTCTGTGAATAGCCTTTCTTAAGAATATCCACAACAAGAGCATATTGTATCATATGTGACACTGCTAAACCAATTTCAGCTCAAAGGGGACAGAGCTGTTTAACCATTTGGATCAGATGTTTAGTATGTTTCACCTTCTGAACCTCACTTCTGCTAAACTTGCATTAAGTCTGAGGAAAATACATTTCAAATGTAATTCCAGTATAGCTGGGTCACACTTTATCATGATATTTCAGAAGGGATTAATCACGAGCAGTGTGCTGTAATGAACAGTTGTTTTTACCTATTTAGAAAGAATAAACTGTGCACAGTACTACACTTGGAAACAGATGTGATTCGGTCCATTCAATATAAACTCAGAAATAGGTTCCTGCAGCAACCCCTACTCTTCCTTCACAAAGGGCAGAAAGGAAATCTGCAAGGTATGTTAGTTTTGTTTCTGTAGTATTTTTTGCTTTTATTTCTCGACTAAATCCCCAGGAACTCCAGCTACCTGCTTAGTAGCAGATAAGAACCCACTCCTCATGGAAAGCTTCAGGATTTGATTAAAAGATCGTAACTCTCTGAAACTTCTTGTCAAAATATCCCAGACATCAGCCAGCTATTAAGTTACTTCCCAACAAACAAATCGACCCTTCACTGAACACTTCATCCATATGAAAATTTTTCATCTGTTTAAAAATTCTGAGTAATTCACAGACAGGGCTACAAGCAAACAGTACTTAAAAGAAATACCTTCTGTTCATCCACTTGGAAGCTCAGAATTCTGTCACTGCATGTTATTAAATAGGTAGAGATGTATGGCAATGACATCAGCAAAAGGACATTGTGTGTACTATTCAGTATGAATAATTTTCTATGCAGGGACTAGCAGAGCTGTCTGTATTAATTCTTAAGGAAACAACCATGACATCTCTGTTAAACAAGCAGAGAAAATAAAACATCTGAACCAGAAACTATTGCAAAATTCTGTATTAAATCCAGAACCACCATAAAATCCCATAAAACGCTGATTGTGCAGCTCTGATAGGCAAGGAGTAGAAAGATCTAAATTATTCATGCTACTCAATGGCAACAGAGATGGGATTTGCAAAAGAGGTGACACATGGCACTATACTACAGGATTCACAACTTTTAAAGAATATTTTAGAAAAGTTGTTCTCCCTGGGAAGGGAGATGCCCCTTTTACATTTAAGATGACATGACATTACTTACAAATGAATGTGTCTCTCACACTACGGTACTTCAGAACAAGAAAATAGGAATATGAATAAACTACCAAACCCTACAGAGATGTACTTTGATTTATAAATTCTCCACATTATGCTTAAATTTGGTAGAACTCTACAGTGTCTACAGTCAGTAATATATTCTGAGATGAGATAAGATTTGCTCTTTGTATTTTTGACATTTTTCATGTTTGCACAGTTCTACTCATGATTACTAGATTGAAAGGTTTGGTAACAGTGATACACCTAGAAACTGAAAGTTAATGAAATCCTATGGATAGAAAGACTCATTACACCAACCTAATTTTAGAATTATCAGCTTTAATAGAAGACTGTCTCTGAAAAAATTTATGTCTAGTTATATGGCACTCAATTTCAGGAGTGCAGACATAGCAAACCACTGACCTACAAGTACCAAGCTAGATAGATATGACAGAGTAGAAATGTGTGACCACATTGGTAAGTTCACATTTAACACCAACCAGAAAGAAGCAATAGATAACCAGCACTTCAGAGACAGCTCTGTCTTTTATGGGTGAATTATTTATGTTATTAGTTACCCAAGACTGTAAGAGAAAAGCTTTCATTTGTAAGTTCCACAAATTCTAGATTTATTCCTAGAAGTATTAAATTAATACAGGGGCACTATTCTGAGCTAACTAAATCTTGATTGCTAAACAACAGACTGGCAAAAGCCCTGACTGCAAGACAATATTAGGAACACCTTGCTTGCTGTAATAAAATGATGAAATCTAGCCAGAATTTTTGTATCCATTCCAGAGGCTTGCTATGGAAAAAATAGAATAAGGTGAAACTGACCATTGGAAAACTGCATCAAGCACAGCTAACCACCTTGCAAAGTCAATCAACATGACATGTGCTTCCATGAGTAGCATTATCTGGAGTACATTTTGTTGGCCCCTAATGGCTGAGAAGGCATAGGGACAACATGACGTATGATACATATGTTATATGTGATCTGTTATAAAGGCATACTATTTTCTGTAGCCTCAGAGTCCAAGCTTCATACTGATGTTCATCTACTGATGAACTAGAGCACTGGTGTCTAACCTTTCTTCAGGGATAACTACTTAGTTTATTACGAAGCCACTGGCAGACTCTAAGCCTCAGCTCTTTCTATCGGATATCATCAGATATGTGAGTTACATTACTAGAAATACTGATATATCTCATTATGTGTCTGAGGCATTATGTGTCTGATGCATACACATTGGCTCACAGGAGGAAAGACTATGCATTCTGTAACACGATAGCATGTTTGTGCCAGCACAGCACCAAATATCCTTTGCTCCCCCACATTTTGATTATGGAAGAAAATTAGAAGGTGCCAAAAGCAAGCTGTGGGCCACTACAGTCATTCATATGGCCTGCAGCTTGCTACCTGTCTGCACCTGGAAAGCAAGGACCAGGCAAGGACCATGTAGGTCATATCTGAATGGCAGAATGAGCATCCATGCATTAGAAAGTGAAGAAAGGGGTATTTATTTATTATGCCCCTGGAATTTTTTGGGGCTCTAAAAGCACTGACATTTTGCTAACATTACCAAAGAGCTGTGGAACTATAAGTAATTGTCTTAAGCAAGTAGATACACGATATACAGAACTTTAACTGTGTTCAGTCATTAAAACACGGTTGTGAACAAAATTGAGTGGACTTCTGCACTGTCATCAGGAGTGATTTCCCTGGTGGAAAGAACTTTGAACAAAGTTACTATCTGCAATTAAACTCCCTCCAAACTATTAGGACAGGATTTTGTTCCTGAGTTAACAGACTTGATATAGACTGCCAACATTAAGTAACAGTGCTGACACTTTAGTAATATTAAGAACCTGAAGATCTGGATCTGCCGTTATGGCAAAGGGCAACGGACTACAAGAGACAAAGGAAACATAGTGCAGACACGAAATAACTGGCTGAGTCAGTAGCTCAGATACCACATGGTAAGATGTCCCATAAGTAGTGGTGCCAGACGAGACTGGCCGCTAAAGCGGTGCGAGAAGTTCTTGCAGAGCCCAGACACACTCATTTAGAAGTTAGAAAATACACTGTCTCAGTACCTAACCGGGCTCTGAACTTGGAAAGACAAGAAGCCTGAATTTCTGTATCAGCATTTTCAGATATTCGGTCTAAAAGGAAGTCTTTCTGGTTGACCTTCCAGCCCCCCGAGCTCCACGCGTCCACAGACGGAGCACATCACACAGCCAGGGACCGGGGGCAGAGGAAGGTTCTCCATTTCACTCTGCAACTTACGTTTTTCTTAGCACACCGTCTCCTTATGCCAACGAGTTATGAAGGATCTCGCCACCTTGCACTCACCAAAAGACATTCCCCAGCTTTCAGAGGCGGCGAGCAAAGCTCCAGCATACCTCGAGACCTCCTGAGAATAAATAATAAATAAACACAAAAAGCCCTACAAGGTAAACGAGGAAAAACCCCTAGATTTTACCGTTCTTGGTAACCCCATCATCCTCGAGCCAAGGCTACAAGGCCGGCG